TGACTCCCTGTTGGAGTCAGATGCAGCAATGGATGAGCTTAATGCTCTCATATCTAGAATTGACTCTATATTGAAGACAAATGCTCCTCTTAACTATTTCCTTACCGTGTCATCATCAGGAACGGCAACAGCGAGGCGAACAGCAGCAGCAGCTGCAGCAGCAGCAGCAACACGAGGAGCAGCCTTTCAAGCACCAGTAAACCACATGCAGCAGCAGAGGAGTACCATTCCCTTGTATCCGCACAGCAGCAGCAGTTGGATGGCACGGGAGGTGCGGCCACTGCACAGCGAGAAGCGTCCGCAAAGGGACAGGAAACGCGAGCTACAGGAGAGATGGCGCAGCCCTACCACATTCAACATGGCCACCAGCTCACGGGGGCGTGCGTTTTTTTGCCAACAGAGGAGCAGATGTAGCATGAGTTAGCACAGGAGCCTTCACTTGGCCTTTGTAGGTTGCGTGTAAGCCAATGCAAACGTTCTAAGAGTACATTCAGGGGTAAAGCATACAGCAAAGGAATCTGCATTGGAACCTCCTTTTCTGCATGCGTGAAACTGGCTTGTATTACCATCCGCAGCGAGGTGGGCTGTAACAACACTCCAGACTGTCGCCTCCCCGCAGCACCCAGCCCCTCGACGCCGATGAGGCCTGAGGACAGGGGGAAGGATGTCAGCTGCTTTTGAGAAACTCTTGCTGTAAGTCTTTACCTACATTCCAGCTCGCATNCAGGGGGAAGGATGTCAGCTGCTTTTGAGAAACTCTTGCTGTAAGTCTTTACCTACATTCCAGCTCGCATCGGTCCTTGATTAAGGCCAGAGAGCAAGCGTTACACACGCTTACGGGCCTGTAGCCCCTTGCGGTTAACGCATCGCTGCAAGGGAGCGCCAGCTTTGCCGTGGTGAACGCTCCCCTCGACTATTCAAAAACTGGTCTGAATTCTTTCCGTTATGAACTTGGAGATCATGATCAGTTTATTTAGAAGTCCCGTAGCAGAGACTTAAGTGGATGTATAGCGGCAACGCGCACTACACCTAACGCTGCGTGGAAGACAATCCACGGTTCCCCAGGGGTTCAACGGGGGATCCCCCGGGCTTGCCGGAGGATTTGCGGAGGAAAACGTATATTTTCTGACGAATATATTTACATATTAATTCTTTGGTAGTGAGTTAAACCGTTATATACTCAAGAAACAATCCCCCACGGGCCGACCGCCACTCGGACCGTAGTGCCGTATCACACTGTTCCTCGTAGCCGAGATACTGAAGGAGGGCCCTGAGGTATAGGATTTGTCACGCAGATCAAACAATAAAAGTAAGTAGAATTCTGAAATTATATATATGTAAATAGTTCAGGATTACGAAATTGTAGAGCCAGTTGGCTCTACAGTTTCCATGGGCAGTAGCGATCCATCATTTGGAGGGGTCGCTGCAGCCCATGGGTCGGACAGTTACCCAGACTCGCCAGCAGGTTCGGTAANCCATCATTTGGAGGGGTCGCTGCAGCCCATGGGTCGGACAGTTACCCAGACTCGCCAGCAGGTTCGGTAACTCTCTTACTCCCACGAGCTTCCACTGCGCTGAGATAGACGTTTACCCGTTATAACGGAATGCCAGCGGATATAACTATCTGGCGATTCGATATCTCGTAGCGTAGTGTTGCTTGCTAATAATGGCACATATCCCAGCAGTATTGTAGTGCGCCGCACTACGTAACACCCGCTTGCCGCAGTAAAAGGAAAATGCGTTCCCTAATTTCACCCCACTACCTCAATTTTACTAACCTCGAAAGTAGTACGCGCATTTAGTTCTCTTTCCTCGGTACTTAGGTTGAGAATAACGCCAGTATTGCCTGCAGACAACGAGCGACCAAGGCGGTTCGCCTGGAAAGGACGCCATCGCACAGGTACCACTTGGCTGCTTCATTCCAAAGCAAAAAATCACTTTTCCTGCAGATAAGCACTGATTGTTATTTTTTACGTTTGAGGTTCTATTCGTGACCAATAGTTTCATATAGTCCCTCTTCGTAAGATACAACAGATGCAGTCTCTCGGTCGCGGAAGCCTTGATCTGAGGCGTGTGGTCTATACCCTCTCTTGGCTGCTTCGCATAGCCACTCCGATATCTGTTAAACATTTGTAACTTCCATATGTGTGGAGATTGGATTAATTTCTCAACTTCAGCTGGTCCACGGCTCCAGAGCACTGCCGAGGTCAATTTTTCCCCGGTGTACCTGACGGCGTGTGGAGCAGCCGTCGTCAGGAACCTTGGATATATGCTCCTGCACAAGACATTTGTCATAGTCTTGTCCCTGTCCCGCTGCAGCCTATAATTTCGCCTTCTCTGTAAAAAGACTTCAGGGTTCGCACTTGCTGCTCTACAGGCGCCGAATGTCTGCATACTCCCAGCTTGAAGGTAGCACGCTGACTGCAAATCTATGACGAGACGCTCGCAGTTTGCAGATGCGCCTCTTGCGTGGCATCAGGCGCAGGAACACCTGCGCTTCGACTTCGTGCGGGGCGTAGTCGACGAACGTCACAAGGAAGCGTTCCAAAGACGGGCCCAGCCCAGCAGGGCAGCGCAAGCGCCGAAGGCGCTGTTACCCTTCACTTCGTTTGCCGTAATCACAGCTGTTATGCTATTTATCTACATGTGCAGTTTGTCTATCCGGAAGAGGAGATATGCATGGTCTTTATGGCGTAGACTTGCGAGCAGCAGAGAAGGCGAAGAGGGTAACGAATCCGACTGGTGCAGTCTAGAAGCGAGTTCAGAGGACTCTTCAGATTCCTCTGAACTCCGTGCAGAGGGATTAGAGCCGGTGTTTGGGGGTCAATTTGAACACGCCAAATCAGAAACTGAGGCATCTACGTCTCCCACAGTGGGAAGTGTAGCACCCTACAAGGGCCAGGTTTCGCGGTGGGCGACAACGCAACTAGACACAGACGGAGTGACAGGAGGCGTCAAAAGAAAGAGGAGAGGAGCGTTAGGCACGGAAAAATCGGCCAAGTACTTCAAGGTTAGGGAACCGCGTGAGGAGAGTCCACCATTGCCCCAACCCCCTCTTGACCCGGAACTCGATTCACTTATTGACACTGTGCTGTTTCGAGAGGAGGTCGTGCTGCACGAATCATTTTGGCTCTCGGATGAGAAGGGAGAAAGTGAAGCCCTGGAGGCACTGTCAGGTGATCTTGAAGACCCTG